AAGCATTACGTTCAAGTGTATGAAATGTTTTCGTCATCGACAAATATGTACACAACAGATGATGGCGGACCTTCCTGCAGTTCGAGTTCGCCAAGCGTATCCGTTTGAAAATAGTGGCTGCGACAACGCGGGACCACTTACCTTAAAGGTATATCCCGGTCGAAAACCTAAATTTGCAAAAGGCTACATATGTTTNCGTTTATGCGAGGTGCGACTCGACAATCGTGTTAGCATGGCTTTCGCATTCTCCTGCGAAGCTCAAAACCTTTGTTGCTAACAGGACTTCGGAAATTCTTGAGATCCTGCCTCGCCGCCATTGGAATCATGTTGCGTCTAAGGAAATCCTGCTGACTGTGCTAGCAGAGGTATGCTAGCGGCTGAGTTGTCCAGTTTTGATCGTTGGTGGAATGGCCCTCTTTGGCTAAGGGGCGAAATACCTTTTCAGAATGCATTATTGAAATCGAAGCCCTCTAAATGACTTGCACACGGCGCAGCAATGGAATTTAAATCAAACGCCGTGAGCTTAGTTCTAACAACTCCAGAGAATAACCATTCACTTGCCGATCTTATTGAAAGATCATCTTATTGGAATAAACTGGTCAGAATCGTTGCTTACATTTTGCGGTTTATCAAACGTTTTCATCCACATAAAAGAGAAAACAGGGTTGGCCCGTTGAATTATAGTGAGTTTGAAGATGCAAGGCGACTACTTGAAAAATACGCTCAAGATTGTTTTCGAGAGGATCGGAAGAGTTTAGTGTGCAGAAAAAAGTTGAGTTCGCGTTCCAAGCTTTTTAAACTCAACCCATTCGTCGTTGTTGGAGCGCGAATTCGTAACGCGGAGATACATATCAACGCTATTCATCCCATCGTTCTACCAAAGTTGCATCGAATTACGTATTTAATTCTGCAAGAAGAACACCTCAAAAGCTTGCATGCGGCTGTGTCGGCGCCATTCGTCATTGTACGCCAGAAGTATTGGGTTTTAGGTGCCAGAAACTTGATTCGAAGCATTACGTTCAAGTGTATGAAATGTTTTCGTCATCGACAAATATGTACACNGAGTCAGTTGACCGCTGAAACTGTTCGTGAATAAAGCATATTTAACTAATCCCCTGCTTCTTATTTCGCTGCCTTCACGGCATTCATCGTCATGGGCTATAAAACTGTATACTCATAAAAAATTTTAACACTTCTGATAAANGTTGGTGGAAGGGCCCTCTTTGGCTAAGGGGCGAAATACCTTTTCAGAATGCATTATTGAAATCGAAGCCCTCTAAACGACTTGCACACGACGCAGCAATGGAATTTAAATCAAACGCCGTGAGCTTAGTTCTAACAACTCCAGAGAATAACCATTCACTTGCCGATCTTATTGAAAGATCATCTTATTGGAATAAACTGGTCAGAATCGTTGCTTACATTTTGCGGTTTATCAAACGTTTTCATCCACATAAAAGAGAAAACAGGGTTGGCCCGTTGAATTATAGTGAGTTTGAAGATGCAAGGCGACTACTTGAAAAATACGCTCAAGATTGTTTTCGAGAGGATCGGAAGAGTTTAGTGTGCAGAAAAAAGTTGAGTTCGCGTTCCAAGCTTTTTAAACTCAACCCATTCGTCGTTGTTGGAGCGCGAATTCGTAACGCGGAGATACATATCAACGCTATTCATCCCATCGTTCTACCAAAGTTGCATCGAATTACGTATTTAATTCTGCAAGAAGAACACCTCAAAAGCTTGCATGCGGCTGTGTCGGCGCCATTCGTCATTGTACGCCAGAAGTATTGGGTTTTAGGTGCCAGAAACTTGATTCGAAGCATTACGTTCAAGTGTATGAAATGTTTTCGTCATCGACAAATATGTACACAACAGATGATGGCGGACCTTCCTGCAGTTCGAGTTCGCCAAGCGTATCCGTTTGAAAATAGTGGCTGCGACAACGCGGGACCACTTACCTTAAAGGTATATCCCGGTCGAAAACCTAAATTTGCAAAAGGCTACATATGTTTATTTGTGTGTATGACAACGTCCGCTATATACTTGGAGCTTGCCACAGATTGGAGCACGGATGGCTTCTTAGCAGCGTTACGCCGATTCATGTCCCGTCGTGGAAAGTGCTCCCAAATATTTAGCGACAATGGCAGAAATTTTCTTGGTGCATCTCGTCAGTTAGATGAAATGCACAAAGTACTAATGTCGCAAAAACACTATGAAATCATTTCCGCATCTTTGGCGAAGGACGGAATACGATGGAATTATATACCACCGCATGCGCCGCATTGGGGTGGTATCTGGGAGTCAGCAGTTCGGTCAGTTAAACTTCACCTACGACGCGTCATTGGGAATACTATTTTAACCTTTGAGCAAATGCATACGTTGCTGGCCCAGATTGAAGCAGTTGTCAACTCGAGACCACTTGGGGCTGCACCCGACATCGATGCTAACTATTTATCTCCCTCTCAATTTTTAATAGGTCGCCCATACACTATGGTACCTGAAGCTGGGCTATCTGAAATTCCATCGAATAAGCTCAGCTATTGGCAGCACGTTCAGAACATGATGTAGGGCTTTTGGCAACGATGGCATATGGAGTATCTAACGTCATTGCAGCAACGGCCTAAGTGGGTGAAGAGCGTTCCAAATATGTTGGTAGGAAGCCTTGTGATCGTGAAGGAGAATAATGTGCCCCCTGCTCGATGGTTACTAGCTAAGGTCATCGAGATATATCCCGGCAAGGATGGCCTTGTGGCCTGAAAACTTCTTCTGGAGAAATGGTTCGACCAATTACTAAGATTGTGGTGCTGCCGACTTGCTGAAACACCGTTTCAGGGCGGCCCGGGATGTTGCGGAATAAATACATTTTTTGTAGTTAAGTTTCTGTTGTTCGAAAAGGTCTAGTAACTACTGTAATCTATTGAGTTTTTTTCAAGTCTGTAACTGTAATCTTCCAATCGTTTCTTTGCTCACTTTGTAATTTGTAAGCTAAGTACTTGTATTATATTTTCTGTTGAGTCAGTTGACCGCTGAAACTGTTCGTGAATAAAGCATATTTAACTAATCCCCTGCTTCTTATTTCGCTGCCTTCACGGCATTCATCGTCATGGGCTATAAAACTGTATACTCATAAAAAATTTTAACACTTCTGATAAACAAGTTTGAAATTTGTATAAATCTTTTCAGTGTTCTACAAAATTTTAAGCTTATATTTTAAGTTTCTATGGTATTTGTTAGGGAATGAACTTTTTTTAATTGAAAGATTTTGAAAATTAAAATATAAACATACATAGGTGGCAAACAATATCATTTTGAATTTGGTCCAAAATAATACGCCCTGTTTGTATGTATGTATAAATATGTATAATCAATGACTTTTTAATTGAATTCTTGTGAAAATAACAGAAAATGGCTCTATCTGTTTTTTAATAAAGTTTTCCTTAATGTTGTTACGTGTTTAAATAATTACGTATACTTCATTAAATGTTCATGTTTTATTCAACGACTTATTTATGTAAGTTAACAAGAAGATGTAACTACATCACAAATTATGTTCGCTTAAGTACCCGCTTAAGTACCCAACCCTCCTAAGTACCTCAAAAAGCTGACATTTTTCGTGAGGTACTTAAGCGGGTTTTACTCTGCCTCCAAAAATGGAGTTTTTTATGAATAAAAATAGTTTCTTAAAGATTATTTTTTTTTTTAAATGTCTTAAAGGGACAAAACGGTTTAAGCTTAAAAAATTTGCATAAAAATATTTTTTAAAAATTATAAAAAACTTCGAACGGTATCGTAATAATGAGATTTTTGATGATGTTTTTTAAATTTTTTAAAGACTGGTTTAAGAAAAACTTGAATAACTGAACTTAAACACCTCGGAGTTAGACTTGTGAGGTGTCATTGGAAAGGTATTTTCTCTCCCTTTTTATTTCTTTGTTAATAAATTCATTCACAGGATGAAAGAGAAAGGTAGGATGAACGAACGTCATTCAAAGTTGAATTAAGATGTGCTGGTATTTGAAAAAAAAAAATAAAAATTTGGACACTTTGGACTGGAATCACTTTTTTTGGACAGAAATAAAAACAGTGTGAAAATACCTCTCTACTGAGATCCCATAAGTCTAAATCAGAATAGTTTTGGACCAGTTATTCAAGTTTTTCGTAAATCAATCTTTGAAAATAGTAAAAAAAAACAGCATCAAAAATCTCATTATTACGATTCCGTTGAAAAGATTTTTAAATATTTTTATGCAGATTTTTTTAGCTTAATCTGTTTTGTTATCCGAGGGGACTTTTTTCAAAAAGTTGTTTAAGAAACTATTTTTATTCATAAAGAACTCCATTTTTGGAGGTATTTTCAAATCGGTACAGCTCACGTAAATCTTAATATTTTTCCGAAATATTTTGGTGGACGTCTTAAATATAATAGATTTTATAATCCCGGCGGAAAATCCGCTACCTTTTTGGGTTATGCAGTCTAATGTACATATGTAAATAGTTGTATGAAAAATAAGTGTATTATACACGAAACCATACGTTTTTCTAACGAAACCTGTTAACCGTCTCAATTAAATCGACAACCTATTTTCTTTACCTGTATACTCTTGCCACCAGCAGAACTACCCACACGGGCACAGGGCGTTTCGCCGCCCCTGCACTCCGTATACTAGCATTAGCATTTTTCTCACTCAATTTCACACTTGCAAGTTTTTCAGGTACAAGAGCGCACAAACGTGGTAGTTTGCAACAATTCGGATAATTGGCATTACGTAAGCACTTTTAATATCAGCTGACATAGGGACAACTTTCTAAAATATTAATATTTATTTCTCCATATTTCCTTCTTTTTTAAATTCATATGGGTGACTCTGTGCTGTCTAATTATAGCAAAAAGCTGTGTATAAGGTGTCATTGATTGACAAAAATTAAAAATCCATTCTAAACTTAAAAGTTTGTTTCAACAACATGCAGTTTTAACTGCTACTATGACTCTGTTTGAAGTGTGTTTAGTTCGTTCCTGCACCTAAGGTTTTGGGCGTGAGTCCCTCGCTTTTTAAAATCGCCGTCATATCAAATTGCAGCAACACAATTAAGTAGGAGGTAGCGGCACTGACAGTCTGAAATATTTGTATTTTACATACATACATACATTTTTTTAAATGCAATTTTGATTTCCAAATAAGTAGTTACTCACCGAAAAAATGAACGTGTAATCCAATGCGAAAAGACCTATGCCGTTGAAGTGAAAATAGCCTTCCCAATGCAAAAACTGCAATGTAAATGATTTCATTTTATTATAGTAAGAACTATTTCCCAACATAAAAGATGGTTTTTTTTGCATAATCTCGTGAATAATCATAGCTGATTGCTTTGAATGAGCATGCGCGTTGCAACAGAGACGTAACACCAAATAGCCAACCATCATTGTTGTCAAACTCCATATGACATACAGATAGATAACATAGTCCATTAGTTCATTTAATCCTCCTACAATGAACATAACTTTTGTTTCTAGGAAGATACCAAATATGGTAATCACAAAACAAGCAGCCATGAACGGTACGCATTGGGCTCCGAATTCCGAATTCACTAAAACACTTAGGGAAAGTATCTTATCGTGTAGTTTAAAAAGGTTGGGTAAATTAACTTCTGACGTTTTCCTGTAATGTAAAGAGGGGAAAGGAATATGAATAGCTGACTTTTTTAACGGTTCCTTGCATTTTTAAATAGCTTATTTTAAAACACAAATTCTTGAAAAATTTAGAGCCTTGACTTAAAACCTAACGAGCGTATGACACTCTTTAAAAAAATGGCCTACACCTTCTGTAAAAAATTAAACAATTTCATTATATATGTAGATTAATGAAACAAAATATCTGCGATAATTTAAAGGTGAGACCACGGTTGCCAACTTTTGGATTCTTGAAACCGGGACGTCCAATAAGTGTGTTCTTTTGCTCGCCCGCAGGTGCCCGATAGTGCCCAATTTGTGTTTCTTTGGTTGGTTCTTAGGCTGTTGAGAGCCACTTTGAGCGAGTAATACTTGCTTTTTCCGATTAGGAAAGAGGGTAGGTTAAATTATATACACCATTAGGGAATTCACAAAACCTGTTAACCGTCGTAAAATCTTAAGCTTAACATTTATTTAAGTAAAATAACGGTTAAAGTTGCTAATTATATATTTTTTATCAGTTTAAAAACATTCCGAACGGCGATTGTATTTTTGTGAGAAGCTGTTTTTCATGGCAGGAATACACTCGGAGGTTTGCCATTGCCTGCCGAGGGACGACCGCTGTTAAGAAAAAATCTTTTTTTCTATATTTTTTTGCGATGTGTAGTTAGGAATCCTCTAAAACCATTTTAATCCTTATTTTACATTAAAAAATGTTAAGCTTAAGATTTTACGACGGTTAACACGTTTTTGTGAATCCCTTAAATGTGTAAGAAACGACATAAATTTTAGTGCTGTATTTTTGGAAATTTTATATTAAGAAAAAGAAAACAATGTAAAACTAGGCCATAAATAACAAAAAAAATAAATAACTTAAGGACGAGCACACCTAAAGTCAAACATTCTAAAAATAGAATATGTATTAGCAAAAAACCAACAACAACAACAAACACTTGATCAAGGCTATATAGCAGCAGAATATCTGCCCTTAATTGTTTTCGGGCTTACATTTGAAAAAGTGGAAAAAGCAACAATAGAGGTCGATGGTTCATATCCCAGTTACGGCGGTTGAAGAAGTCTGATGAGGAGATGTGGCGATCTCCGAAATAGCAGCTATAACTTCTATATATATATATACAGATTGGCGCTTACACATTTGTTAGTGTTTGGCCGAGCTTCTCCTCCGACTTGTGGTGTGCGCCTTGATATTGTCACACAAGGCGAAGGGACCTACAGTTTTACGCCGACTCCGAACGGCGATTGTATTTTTCATGGCAGAAATACAATCGGAGGTTTGCCATTGCCTGCCGACGCACGACCGCTGTTAAGAAAAAAACCCTTTTTCTATATTTTTTGCGATGTTGCTTTGACCAGGGTTTGAACCCGGGTCCTGCGGAGTGGAAGCGCGCAGTGCTTACCACTACACCACAGCGGCCGACCAACTATAACTCATTCCCACGACAGCCGGTTCTACGTACCGGAATGACTCGGGTTTTACCCGACCAAGGGCTGTTGTTTCGGCGATCTAACCCCGTTTAGGTCGGCGAAGTATCTCAGAAGTTGTCCGTCCATAGGGCTACATTCACTACGTATTCTCTTACTCAGGGCTGGCATCGAGTCAAACCCAGGGCCAGAAACCTACACCTGCTGTGTATGCCGGAGACGATTACACAACAACTCCACCTCAGTCAAGTGTAATGCCTGCGAAGGGTGGAGTCACCTCAGAGTCTGCTCGGGACTACGGACACATAGACAGTGGACCACGTCGTACGTGGCCCCCTGTTGCTCAAACAGAGCAGCCTTCACGGCTAACCACCGTCCGCCCGAGCAGCTTCACACACTCACACAGCAGCCTCACACGGTCACCACAACACAACAACATAATAACACCACAGACCGTACCACAGACACTACAGACCACATAACACACACAACCGCACCACCACCCACACGCCGCCGCCAACAACTCCTGGTTCCCCCTACAATCTGCACGGTATGTCAGACCAGGATATTCCGTAATGTGACATCAGTCAAGTGCAACACCTGCCTTGGCTGGTGCCACTTTAGGGCATGTTCAGGTCTGCGCATCACGCGAGATCGGTCGCAGACCCCAATTGCGACGCCCCCTGCCACCACCACAGGGCGCCAATCACCACAGCAGCACACACAGCCAACGGCGGCAAGAACATACACCCACATCACGACACGTCTCCCGAACCACATGAAGCTTCTTCAATTTAACTGCAACGGGCTACAGAGCAAGATTGAGGAGATAACCGTCTTCATGTGTCGGCATGGTATATTGATAGCTGCGGTCCAAGAGACGAAGTTGCACAGCAATTCACCTTTGTTGAATTGCGCCGGGTACAACGTGCACCGTCGAGATCGCGAGCGAGATAATGGTGGTGGCTTAGCGTTCATCACGCACCACACCGTCCAGTATCGTCTTATCGAAGCAGACATCGACCGCAGGGATACCAGGATGTCAGGGCATCGCTATCCGGTCAGGCGAAGTCGAGCTCGAAATATTGAACATATACATACCCCCTGTCACCTGCTGCCCGG